GGCTGCAGCAACCATGAAACGGTCGAGTTCAAGATCCTTAGGACAGTGAGGAGAGCACACAGCAAGCTCACTACTCTGGACTTCAGAAGAGCAGACTTGGGCCTCTTCAGGGGTCTCCTTGGTAGAGTACAATGGGAGAAAAGCCCTGGCGGGAAGAGGGGCCCAGGAACACAGGTTAATATTCAAGGATCGCCTCCTCTGAGCTCAGGAGCAGTGCATCCCAACAAAGAGGAAGTCGAGCAGAAACACTAGGAGGCCTGCATGGATGAACAAGGAGCTCCTGGACAAGCTCAAACACAAAAAGGAGGCCTACAGAGGGAGGAAGCAAGGACAGGTAGCCTGTGAGGAAAAGAGAGAAATTGCCCAAGTAGGCAGGGATCAGGTTAGAAAAGCTAAAGCCCTGATAGAGTTAAATCTGGCCAGGGACATCAAGGACAACAAGAAAAATACCTATAGATATGTCAGTGGTAAAAGGAGGACTAAAGAAAATGTGGGCCCTCCCCAGAAGGAAATGGGAGACCTGGCTACCCAGGATATGGAGAAGGCTGAGGTACTCAATGACTTCTTTACCTCAGTCTTCCCTGGCAAGAGCTCCAGCTGCACAGCCCAAGTTACAGAGGCAAAGGCAGGGACTGGGAGAATGAAGAACCACCCACTGTAGGAGAAGACCTGGTTCGAGACCTGCTAAAGAAACTGAAGGTGGACAAGTCCATGGGACTTGATGAGATGCATCCATGGCTCCTGAGGGAACTGGCAGATGAAGTTGCTAAGCCACTATCCATCATATTTCAGTAGTCGTGGCAATCTGGTGAAGTTCCACTGACTGGAAAAGAGGAAACATAGCCCCCATCTTTAAAAAGGGAAAAAAGGAAGACCCAGGGAACTACAGGCCAGTCAGTCTCACCTCTGTGCCTGGCAAGATCATGGAGCAGATGTGCAAAGGCACATCGAAAATAAGGGGGTGACTGGTGGCAGCCAACATGGATTCGCTAAAAACAAATTGTGCCTGACAAATTTAGTGGCTTCTAACAATGGGGTTACAGCATTGGTGGATAATGGAAGAGCAAGTGACATTGTCTAGCTGGACTTGTCCAAAGCATTTGACACTGTCCCACACGACATCCTTGTCTCTAAACTGGACAGACCCAGATTTGATGGATGGAGCACTCAGTGGGTAAGGAGGTATTGTCTGGACGGTCACACTCAGAGGGTTGTGGTCAACTGCTCAATGTCCAAGTAGAGACCAGTGACAAGTGGTGTTCCTCTGGGATCACTACTGGGGCTGGTGCTATTTAACATCTTTGTCAGTGACATGGACAGTGGGATCAAGTGCACCCTCAGCAAGTTCGCAGATGACACCAAGTTGTGTGGTGTTGTGGACACGCTGGAGGGAAGGGATGCCATCCAGAGGGACCTTCACAGGCTGGAGAGGTGGGCCTGTTGAGAACCTCATGAAGTTCAACAAGGCCAAGTGCAAGGTCCTGCATGTGGGTCGGGGCAATCCCAAGCACAAGTACAGGTTGGGCGGGCAATAGATTGAAAGCAGTCCTGAGGAAAAGGACTTGGGAGTGCTGGTGGATGAGAAGCTCAACATGAGCCAGCAATGTGCACTGGCAGCCCAGAAAGTCAACCATATCCTGGGCTGCATCCAAAGAAACATGGCCAGCAGATTGATGGAGGTGATTCTGCCCCTCTACTCTGCTCTTGTGGGACCCCACCTGGAATACTGTGTTCAGCTCTGGAGTCCTCAACATGAGAAGGACATGGAGGTGCTGGAACGGGTCCAGAGGAGGGCTACGAAGATGATCCGAGGGCTGGAGCACCTCTGCTATGAAGACAGGCTGAGAGAGTTGGGGTTGTTCAGCCTGGAGAAGGCTCTGGGTAGACCTTCTAGCAGTCTTCCAGTACCTAAAGGGGGCCTACAGGAAAGCTGGAGAGGGACTTTATACCAGGGCATGTAGTGATAGGACAAGGGGCAATGGCTTTAAACTGAAAGAGGGGAGATTTAAATTAGATATAAGGAAAAAATTCTTTTCATTGAGGGTGGTGAGGCACTGGAACAGGTTGCCCAGACAAGTTGTGGCTGCCCCATCCCTGGGGGTGTTCAAGGCCAGGCTGGTTGAGGATTTGAGCAACCTGATCTAGTGGAAGGTATCCCTGCCCAAGGTCCCTCTCAACCCAAACCATTCTATGATCATATGAAGTAGACCGAAGTGCTGGGTTTATGTGTTGTGGTTTGGTAGCAGGGGAGGGGCTGAAGAGATAGCCCCTCTAAGGAAATGCAAGAAGTCTCCCTGGCTCTGAAATCAGCTGGACCTGTCTCTGGCCAGGTTGGAGCTGCCTATGGCCACGGCCAAGCCAATCAGCACTTCTGTGAATGTCATATTTAAGAAGGGGACAAAGGAACCTGAACCAGGTTGGACTTGCAGTGAAGAGAGAGAGGAGGCAGGGGGGTGGCCCCCGGCCTCTCATGTGGATGACTGGAGATGGCCACAGTGACGTGGCTTGGTGAGTTCTGAAGCATCCCGCTCCCAGGGAGCCCACTGGGCAGTTTATCCTGCCAGGACTGTCAAAGTTTGTCAGGTTGGTCAGGCCCGGCACAGCTGCAGCAGAGAGAGGACTGAGATCTGAGAGAAACAACAACGCAGACACCAAAGTCAGTGAAGATGGAGCAGGAGGAAGTGTGCCGGAGCTGAGATTCCCCTGCAGCCTGTGGTGAGACGGCAGGCGGCCCCACTACTGCCCATGAGAGAAATGGTGGAGCAGAGATCCACCCGCAGACTGTGCAGGACCCCACACTGGAGCAGAGATGCCTGTGCCCAAAGGAGTTCGCAGAGAACTGTCTCCCATGGGAAAGGACCCCACGCTGCTGGAGATTATGGCAGAGCAGAGATGCATCTGCGTTCTGTGGGGAGTCCACGCTGGAGTGGGTGGCTGCACCTTAAGAAGCTGTGACTCCGTGGGCAAAGCCCATGCTGGAAGAGTCTGATGAGTAAGGATTGCATTCTGCTGGAAGGACTCACATCGGAGAAGTTTGTGGCAAACTGTCTCCTGTGGGAAGAGGCCCCATGTTGGGAGGCTGCTCTTTAAGGAAGGAGTGGCAGAAGCAGCATGTGACAAACCGACCTGCCATCCCTATTTCCCATCCTCCTGCGTCACTGGGGGAAGGAGGTAGAGCCGGGAAGAAGAGAGGGGTGAGGGAAGGTATTTTTAAGATCTGGCTTTGTTTCTCATCCTCTCTGAAGTAACTGTTAACAAATTAAATTGATTTGTCTCCAAGCCAAGACTGTTTTGCCCAGGGCCATGGTTGGTAGGTGATCCCTCCTTGTTCTTATCTTGACTCTCCCGCCTTTTATTACGTTCTTCTCCTCCCCACCCCGCGGAGCAGGGAGGAGTGAGCGAGCAGCCACATGGTAGCTTAGCTGCAGCTGGGCTAAACCATGACAACTGGGCAACTTGCTTCTTATTTGTGGCTCATGACATGGATTTAAATTTTGGTATGGATTGATAAAACACACAGCAAAATATATAAGAAGTTCGAAGTTATCTAATCAATTTTTTGGGCAGTGAGGGGGGAGGGGGGAAAGGAGAATCAAATTTTTACCTGATCTCTTTTGGAAAGGAAAAAGTCAATGTCACAAAAAGGAAAACAGGAGAGATATGAAGAACACCACAACATAGTCCCTTTTGTGTTCATACTGCATAATGCATTTCAAGTGCAAAACTAATAGCAAAAAAAATCTGTTACAGGAAAACACAGCCTGTGTGACATATACCCTCAACGGGGTCCAAAGTTCAAGAGAACACCAGAATACTTCAATTTGTATCAGGAAGTCAAACTCTACTGATAATACATGAGAGGGTTATTTATTACACAACAGAATTAACCTTTGACTTCAAAAAGTAAAACAGAAATCCAACAAATAAAACTTAAATACCCTCCTTCTCTTAGAAATTAATCTAAATAAAGTCTGTACTTGTAAGCCAGGTATTTAAATGCAGAAAATACTCAATTTGACAATTGCCTGTATGAGCACATGCAGTGCATCTGTGTATGGAAATACATTTCTTTTTATTTATCCAGAAAACAGGGTATAAACACAAGGCAACAGAATTTTAATTATATAAGAAATTCTAAGTTTGCCACTTATTAATTTTTCAGAGGTTAACGTTGCAAGCTCAATAACCGCCATTTAAACATACTGGCACTGTTTCAAGCTGCATGCTTTACACCAAGTGAGAATTAAGAGAACAACCACCACAATACCCATGCACATGCACAAATTAAGATCAGTTACAAACAGACATTCTACAACAAGCACAGTAAACAAACAAAGATCATGGTATAAAAGGAAGCGGAAGGAATATTTAACTTCTCCTTTACTTAGCAATTACTGCCCACAAATATTAATGGGTATTTAGAATCACAGAAATCATAGTTAGGGTTGGAAGGGACCTCAAAAACCATCTAGTTCCAACCCCCCTGCCATGGGCAGGGAAACCCTCCACTACACCAGCTTGCCCAAAGCCTCATCCAACCTGGCCTTGAACACTTCCAGGGATGGGATTTACAGCTGATTATTTCACATCCTGTTCGAACCAGTACATGTCCTTGATGCCTCCCAGTCAACAAGTATTGCCAGTTTGTACTTTCTTTAGTAGGATCCTAGTACTTTTTAACGTTGGCCAGGTGTTATAGTGTGGGACTGTTTCTGTCTGTGGTTACAAGTTTTTAATTTTTATAATTACATGCACTTTATCCCAGGACAGACAAAAGAAACTATCAAACATACTGCCTCAGTGTCCCTACCACCCTCAAAAAAGCACACTCCCTCACACTCAAGCATCACTTGAACAACATATCAGAATAAAGCCATTCCTCAGTTTCACCCTTGGTTGGCCTGTGTAGAAGTTAAATTTCTGAAAGGTAAACAGACCAACGAGCAGTCTATGCCCATCCCTGTACAAAGAAGATGGCAAGAAAAATGACTTCCACTTACTTGATGTTAATTCTGGGTTTCCTTTTAGGTTCATCATCTTTGGAATTGAAGGTCCATATATGTCTGCATCAAGCAAACCAACTTCTTTTGTCTGTGTAAGGAGGAAAAAAAAAAAAAAAGTATGTCAAAATGTCTGTTTTCCTTTATGAATTACTAGTTTAGCAAAACCTCAAAACTGCCCATAGAAATAAAAATACAATCTTGATTTTAGAACTAAGTTATAACTGTTTCCTTTCTCTCTAAATTGGAATTAAAGTATGAAATATAACATCTCTACAAGTTGAGCCAGACGTCATTACAAAATATAGATTCCCAATACACAGAATCCTCACTTGCACATTTTCTTACTTACAATGTAGACCACTATATTAACAAACATCATAAGCAACTCCACGTACATTTATGCAGAAATAATATTTAAACTTTTTTTAAAAGGTATCAAATTTTATTGTAAAAAACCCAAGAAATGTTTGTAAATATATTCAAATTAATGCAATTTGAATTACACTAGTGACTACAAGGAATATGAAAAACAAAAAAAACATATTTTATCGTTCATTTAAGTGGCCAGAGCAAACTTTAGCAGACATCTTGAAAATACTGAAATGCAAATCTCTGAAGCCAATTAAGCAGGCATAACATTTTAATCAAATGCATTTACACAAAAGAATGCCAAAAACACGGGTTTATTCAACTACATATGGTACATTAGGCAATAAATGTTAAATAAAAATTTTTTTCAACTACGTAGTCTAGACTTACAAGATTCATTTCTATACGCTTTTTTTATACATATACATACATATTTTTTGGAAAGTAAACTATTTTTCCTACAGATGGCAAGGCACACTACCAGTTACCAAGTTCTGCAAATTAAGTAGTAAAGAGCAAGCCCTTTAAAGTGCTGAACATCAAGCTTCTCTAACATAAAAAGTTAACTGTACTCAACATTTTGCAAAATTACGAGCAAGTATGTTTAAGGGCTTGTTTGAAAGGTTAAGGTAGCAACGGGAGTTTTTCCAACAATGCCGAGTCAGACTTTCACTGTTAGTGTTTCAAAATACGTGCTTCATTTTTTGGATGATGCTTTCATAATTTAGTATCATAGATTAAGCCATTATGTTATCACAGTTTTGATGTGAAAGATGGAGAGAAAGATAAAGGCTCAATGCTAACTATCATGTTTCTGGTTAGAAGAAGAGTATAATGAGGCTTTCAACGCAAGTATACAGCATCTCTACTCCTGAACAGGATTTCTGAACATGAAGTATATTCTGTGGCATCACAATCTGTTTGTTTGTGGGGTTTTTTTTTCAAAATAGAAATGCACCTGGACTGAAAACCTGGGCATTCAGGTCACTATTAAGTAAATTGGAATTTCAATTAAGATAAAGAAACTAACTTGTAGAAGCCTAGACACCTGAGAAGCAAGACTGACCCTTTTTACTACAACATACGTAATAATTTGAGTTTGGGGGTTTGTTTTTCTGTGGGGGTGGCTCTCTTTTTTCTTCTTCTCTTTTTTTAAGCTGTTGATATTGAACTCTGATGACACCCTTAACAGCTGAACAATTTAAAGTGTCAAATTTATGTAATTAAGTCAAATGCATCTTAAATTTTACAACTGAGAAGTAAAAAAATACATAAATACATTACCGTACATGATCTGCTATGTACCTTGAAAAATAATTTTTTACTACAAAAATCAACTGAATTTGGGTTCAGTTATTCAATATGCTTTTCTATTAAACAGAGCAAAGTGTATGTAATTACAAGGATTATTTAATTTAGATTTTTTTTTTAATATTTTCTCTCTTTATAATATCTTGTGAAAGCTATTATAAAAAAGTTCAGGAGTTACTCCAACAAATTATTCTACTTCTTGCCTACTGTATGAAAGCTGCAATTTCAAAAAGATTGAAAAGACCCATTTTCATGTTAGATTTCAAAGACATCAACAACAGTATTAGAGCTTCTTTGTTCTTGTACAAAATGCGTATTTTAACAGATTAGAAAGATGACTCAGTCCCTTTATCTGTGTCAGCAGCTAATTGAACCCATCAAAACATCATCTGAGGGCTGTGCCACCTAATTCCTTCTCAAATGAAAGTAAATATTTGCAGAAAAACCTACATACCATTTTAAACCTGACTGACGTCCTTTTCCTCAGCCTTTTGAGGGTTTTCCCCCCAAACAACCATCATGACTATCCGCCGACTGACTAACTACAATGATCTTACAACACACTACAGTTTTGTTTTCAGCCTAAAGGGACTCAAGATTTAGGATGATCTAAAGTAATTTGATTGACTTCACGACCTCCTGGGCATAGTCAG